CCTGTCACGCCTCGGGCAGTGACCCTACACACCTGCCAGAGGATGGGAAGCAAGGGACGAGGCCAGGTGTCCCGGCCAAAGCCAGTGGAGCTGCTCCAGGCACATTGCRCTGCCTTGATGACCCAGGGGACTGTCAGCCACAAGCATCCATGAAAAGCACCATGTCACCCCTCCCCAGACTTGTGATCATAAACGAGCAGGGACTGTTTTAAGCCACTGGGGCTTGGGACAGTTTAACGCAGCCTGGGTGATAGGTCCCGAGCTCCTTGACAGGACAGATGCTAACATTCTTGGAATTCTACCTTGAATGCCTCGCCAGGGTCAGCCCCAGGACGGTTTCACCCTTGAGTACCCTGCCCTCCCTCCTGTTGAGGGGCACCCTGTGTCTCCAGCAACCCTGCTGCAGCAGGGACTGTCCAGCACCCCCATGGCCAGGAGGTCATCCCTGGGTGCTGACAAGGCTGCCCCTGGGTGTCCCCTCAGCTCACATGCAGCTGGGGAGGCCTCTTTTGAAGGCCCAGTCCCTCCCCATGCCCTCGCCCTGTTTCTACTGGGCACTGCCGTGGCCTGGTGAGACACCGCATGGGCTCCCTCCCTACTCCCTGGGAAGGACACTGGGCCTGCACCTAATGACTGTAGCCCTAGTACATGGTCACTGCCTGTCCTGTCCATGAATGAATGAACAGCCATGGGATTCACACCCGGGGCCCAGGAGCATGTCTGAGAGCTTGTCACATGGACACCTGCTCAGAGGCACCACCACAGCCCCTCCCCTGACAAGGACGCGGGGACGGTATCATCCCCAACTAGATGGGGCGGGTGGCACCAGGGTCTCTTGAACACGGCCCTCAGCCCTCTGTCCACTCACACCCTCTGCTCCTGGTATTTGAAATATTGCAGACCAGGGCCAGCAGGAATGTCCTGCCCTGGAGCTCCCACCAGAAGGTTCCTCCTGGACTCTTCCTGGGGGAGGCAGCCAGCCTTATCCAATCTCCCCAGTTTCTCTCCTAAGGGCACAAAATGGCCCCAAGAGCCCAGAGTTTTAGCACGGCTTCCCCGGAGAGAAGGATGACAAGTGGCTTCAGCTACTGGGAACGTCCTGAAGCATCTCTGCATGTCTCCTGGCCCCCTCTCCTGGGAGCTGAGACCGGGTCCCCTGCCCGTGGCTCCTTCTCCATCCTGGCTCCATGGAGACTGGCCAGACAGGGCCCAAGAGCAGCGGGGCCCAGCCTCCAGGAGGGCTGGAGTTCTGMCTCCCCTTCCCCTGGCTGCACCACCTCATTACCCGTGAGGCCCTCGTTCCCCTGACCTCGTCCCGAGGAAGGGGTGGGACAGCCACACACACCCAGATGTGAATCCACCAATGACCACTCTGAAAAATCACACAACCCAGAGGGACGGGAGGGGGACTTCGTAGGCAGGCGTGGTCACGGCGGGGACTCTGGTCAGCTCCATCATCATTCTCACTGGGCTGTTTGAGAAATCACTTGAGCCCCACCTCAGTCTCGCTTTTTTCATCAGAAGGTCTTGGTTTTAGAGGGAAACGGATCTGCACTTACRACCAGGGGTGGAGAGGTCTGGGAGCCCACTGTCACTGGGTCTCTGAGCCAGCAGGGCAATGCAGGGCTCCACACGGACCAGACCACGGGCCGGCGGCCATGTGCGCCTGTCAGTTCAGGTGGGGACCCCGTCCTGGGGCATGCCCCCAGAGGGTCCTCAGGTGGCCCTCAGAGTTCCCGAGGCTCTCAGCAACTCAGGCTAATTGAAACAGGTCGGGGTTCCAACTCCACTCAAGCCTCTGAGAACTCAGAGCCCTGCTGGGGCAGCACGGTGGCCCGTGGTCAGCAGGATTGTCCTCTGACCTGGCTATGCCGAAGGACAGGATGGCGTCCGGGGTGTTCTAAACCACGTCAGAGGATCCCCATCGGCACCGAGGAGCCTTGGGGTCCCTCGATGACAATAGGAATACCAGAAGAGTGAGAACCCCTGTGCTTCTCCATCGTCACCAACGGAGGCCAAGCTCCCACTCTGGGCAGCCACCTGCTGAGGGCGCGTCTGATGCCTGGCTGTGGCAAGTTCCAGTCAAGAGCACTAGGCTCCCTCTGCCTCTGCCCGCCTCCCCTCAGGGCCCCGCAAGAAAGCCCCCCATCCCACAGGCCTGGCCAGTGCACAGTGAGCACCTCCTGCCAATCAACTGCCATAGCACCACACCACAAAAAAGCACACGCCCTGCTTGGTGTCCCTGTGACCTTTCTGCCTTCTTTGGGAGAGCAGCCATCCTTTGAGAGGGTGCTTTGCCTGTCCTGTGGGAGGCCCTGTCAGGGCGGGCACTCCTCCACCCTCTTGCCCACTCRCTGAGGCTATCAAGATACCTTCAGGCAGTGCCCAGGATGCACCTGGCTCAGCCCCAGCTCGGGGACAGAGCAGACAAGAAGCCCCTGCCCCAACAAGAGGCATGCCCCAGGGCTAGCGTGGAGGAAAGCAGGGCCTGCCCCTGTGGTGACAGCAACAGGGACCCACCTGCAGGTGACACGGGGCAAGGCTGGAGGATGGGGACAGCTGACTGGCCAGACACGGGTGCATAATCTAAGTCTGCAGGAATCATCAAGGGCAGTGACCTGTGGGGCTGGGTGGGGAAGGGTCACCCTGGCAGAGGCCAGGGAGGGCAGCTGGGCTGCCTCTGTGAACAGAGAATGCAGTCCCCATGACAGACCAGGCAGCTCCCCACGGCTGGCCCTGGGTGGCAGGTGAGAACTCAGGCGAGGGGTGTCTCTTGTCATGGCCACCTGCTATGAGGAGCTCCTGTGGCCTCAGGCTTGGGCACAGAGTTCCTGCAGTGGTTTGGGACGGCGGCTTTCCTCTGCACACCTGGATTCACTTAGGTGCCAGGCAGAGGTGCCCACAGCACCAGGCACACTGCAGACCCTGGGCACCGAGCTTCCAGTGAGCTTCCCTGTCACTGATGTCACTCGCACAGACCCAGCTTGCTGCTAAAGTCCGAGTTCACCCCTAGGCCTCCTCCCCAGTCTCCCCCAAGGGCAGGTGACACCCGCACGTGGACGCCCATGGAGAGGAGGGTCACCAGGGACAGGTCAGCTTGCAGAGCAGGCTGGACAGAGCCTGGTGGGAGCCTGGCCAGCAGCTGTGCAAGGTCCAAGCACTGGGGCTCAAACCTGGGGCCACACAGGAAGGGCCGCCACAGGAGAAGCAAGGGGCACAGGCATGTGTGTGCTCAGGAATCTCAGGGCTGAGGGTTGTGGATTCACCCACCTGTTCTGCCTACAAAGAGGACTAAGGTTCCCCAGGGTGTGACAACCCCCAAGGATGTCCACCTCCCAGGAAAAGGGACTCTGCAGATGTGATTACATTAAGGACCTTGAAATTGGACGCTGCCCTAGGTCATCCAACCAGCTGATGTCGGGGTACATGGTCTCAGAGGAGGCGCTCCCTCCCTTGAAGGCCGTGGAGGTAGTGCTGAGGCGCGGGGGGTCAGCAGGAGCCAGAGAAGGCCAGGCCTGCAGGGGCCTGCAGAGGGCACAGCCTGGCAGAGGCTTCGCCTTTAGCCTKTGAGGCTCATTTTGGACTTCTGACCTCCAGAACCGTTTGGGAATACATCTGTGTTGTTTAAAGCCACCGAGCCACCATGGGGAGCTTTGTCACAGCCACAATAAGACAATACACTATGTCTCCCACCCCAGGACACTGGCACGGGGCCAGATAACCCTACTATGGAGCACTGACCAGAGTACTGAAGTTTCAGCAGCATCTCTGGCCTCTCTACCCATTTAGATGTCCAGGGCTCCCTTTCCCAGGCACACCAATCAAAAATGCCACCACACTGCCAAATGTCCCCAGGGAACTGCTGGTCCAAGTTGTTAATCAGACTCTGCAAGCTCCTTACTTCCAGGGATCCAGGGTCCACACCCCTCGTAATGCACCAAACACCCACTTGGAGCGTAGAGGGTGGGATAAACAGTGGCCTGTGCCCTCGTCAATGCCCTCAGTCCTGGAGGCCGTGGCCTAAGCCATTGTGCTGGCCATCTTCTCACCTGTGGCCTGTGCCAAGCTCTGAATACATGGAACCCCAGGGCAGGCTGAGCGGGCCTGCCAGTCTTGGTGACCAGCCTATTCAGGGCCAGGAGTCAGGGCCAGGAGTGGACCAACAGGGCATCTTGAATTCTTCATGGAGATGGAATTCGTCAGCCACAAAATCCACCAGTGTGTGCGCCCTGTGGTTCTGTATACGGCCACCGTCCCCGTCTGATTCCCATGGCCCCCAGGGAAACCTGGTCCCCATCGGCAGCCACTCCCACTGCACGCCCGTCATGTGCCATAGTCTGTGCCCCCGACTCTGCTCCGACAGTCCCCAGTGTGTGACCACTGGAGTCAAAGCCATTTCCTGCTCCAGGGGTGTGGGCAGGGCAGGTGCCCCCGAGAAACACTGCGGTGAGTACACTGGACAGTGGGACTGCAGTGGCCACACTGTTGCTTTCTAGAACAATGAGGATCCAAGAAATCAAACAGGAAGGGAGGAGAAAGGGAGGGAGGGAGGCAAGCTGACCGATTCACTCAGCCTAACTCGGCGATGTCAAGCCGCCCAACCCCACCAGGTGGACACTGAAGGAGCTGGCTCAGGGAGTGCAGCCTGAGGTAGCTGTGCTCTGACTTAGCTATTCTCCTACAGCAAAGGCCACTGGACATCTGGCAACAGCTTCAAATCCAGCAGACACTGGGCAGCAGCCGGCCGCTCCCTTTCCATCAGCAGAGCCACCCTCCGCCCGGCTCAGCTCTCTGTACCCTCAGAAATGGGAACGTGGAACTGGTTTACAGGGCTGCTTCCAGAAATGCTGGAATTGTGTCACCTGTGGGTTTCATACCATAGCAGGATAGGCACCGGGAGGGCCCCGAGCTCCAGGGGTCAAAGGTCTCGGCCTCCTGCGCTGGCCGCAGTGCCCCCTGCCCCACGCTGGCCTGCAGCACTGGGCATGTCGGCCGCCTACCTTCAGGACCTGCTCCAGGTTCTCCAGCTTGACTTGGAGCTGGTGTTTCTCCCTCAGGGCCGAATCGCGTTCTCTGGTCACTATGGTGAGTGTGCGGCTGAGCCGGGCATACTCTGCCTTCACCTGGGAGCAGAAGCGTTGAGGAAACAAAGGCTGTTACAGACTGCCCAGGGACCAGGTGGACACCCGGCCAGCTGACATCTGTTGCTTCCTTGTTAAGAGCCTCCTGTCCCTCCCTCCCCAGGGTAGACTTCAGGGTCCAGCCCTACTGGGCTGAGCACCTGTGGTCAAACTGGCCAATCAGCACCTGACCTCCCCCTTCGGCCCGCCCACCTCCAGCAAGGCATTGTGATTAGCTCTGGCTGGGAACGGGACCCAGACTGGCTGGTCAGTGCAATGCTATCCCCTGGACGTGGTGATTGACTGGAGTGGTCCTGCAGCCCTTTGCCATCCTGAGAGCCTGGGAGGAGACTGCTGTCCATGGGAAGTTGAGGACAACAGACTACAGGTGTCATTGCCTGCTGTCATGAGGGCAGCACGGCCTGACTTCAAGGCCAGGTAAATGGACGCCAATCCCGGAACGCAAAGGGCAGATGGGGTGTTGACGGTCCTGGGCACCAGGACAAGCCCAACTGGAGCTGCTGTCTCCTCCGTTCCCACTGGGCCCGTTCGTTCACACCAACCCAAATTACTTCCTGTCCCTTCACCTGTGAGAGTCCTGACACACACCAGACTGTCACCCGATTGTGTAAGCATGCTAATTCCTCTGCCTAAAAACTTTACCCTGTCTCAGCCGAGGGTAAAAACGGCACAGAACTGCACATGTATGAGCACGGATTTCCCCAGGATCTAGCGCCAGGTCAGTTCCACCCTCAGGCTGTAGCCCCAGCCAAGCTGTGAGCTCACTGGCAGCCCCCTAGTCCCCCTCCGTCCCCGGCTCCTCTGCAGCAGGCCAGGGCATGCTCTGGTGAGGGGCCCGTGGCTGGCTCCAGCTGCCCTGCCCACTTGCCCATGGAGGCCATGTATCAAGGCCACAGCAGACTTGCCGTGTGCCTCCCTCCTCCCCAGAGTTAGAACATGCTTTGTGGCTTCAGTCACAGCCCATCAGGAAGCCACATTTCAGACACAGAAGCCTTTCTGTCACAGAGGCTTCGGTACTGAGGGCAGTGCCCAACTGGACAGTTCCCTGGCTCTGAAAGGAGGGCGCCACGTGGCCTTCCTCAGTGGAGGCAGTGCGTGGAAGCTACCTTAGGGGTCACAGCCAGGGCCAGCTCACGGGAGTCCTCACAGCCACTCAGCTGCCACCAAGCCCAGGGCCTGGAACTCGGAAGATGTCAGAAGCTGAAGGTGTCACAACCTCCTGGAACTCAGTGCCTCTCGTGAGCCTCAACCCAGGGCTACAGGTTGGCAGGAAGCCATCGCTTCTCACGTTCTTGCTGGTCAGGGAAATCAGACGTGGGATGAGGTGTGAGCACCCTGGAGCCCAGCCTCATGGGGACCAAGGAGTGCTCCCTGCAGCACTCCTCAGCTACTGCCTGGTTCCCACGGAAATCGGAATGAAACCAAACACCCTGATGCCAGGCTCTGCAGGACCTGACCTTCCCATTTGGTACCACCACTCACCATGCTGGGGACACCCCAGCCTTCTGTCCCCTAAACAAGCTAAGCTCATTCCCACCCCAGGGCCTTTGCACTGGTGGACTCCATTGCCTGGCACAGCCCCATCTGCTCCCACTAAGCCCCGAGTCACGCTGCATGCCACCTTGGGTAGGCTGCCCAGCCTGTGGAGGGAACAGCCCCTCGCCCTCGCCCTTGCCCTCACAAAGCTAGGGAGATAATGGCCACAGCCCTTGCCCTCCTGCCCAGACAGCACCACCTGGAGCTCAGTCACGTCCCTCACAGCTGCACTTGGTCAAGGACATCCTCCTGGGGATGAGCCAGGCTGCTCCCCACTGAAGAGCAAGGGCAGGGCCCCAGCATGGCCAGGCTGGAGCCAGCAGCCCCTCCTCTGTCCTGCCCTCAGGGGGGCTAAGATGGTTCATTTGTACGAGATTTTCTTATTTTGACCAGATGAGGTGGACAGGGACACTCAGGAGGGCTGGGACAGCCTCAAAATCCCAAATACCTATGTGTGACGTCCCTATGAGGCCTCATAATTTTTCAATAGAATGCCTCAGGAAAGGGGACATAGCAAGACCCCCTGACCATCATCCACAGCTCTGTGCACAGCTGGACCTAGACTTCCTGCTGGCCAGTTTCTGGCCAATGGGTAGGAGTGTCACCAGGCCACAGGTTCTTAGACGATGAGCTCAGGGCCTACCTAGCATCTGACCTGGGGTCAGGACGCAGAGCTGCCCCAGGACCTACTGAGATGGGACAGCCAAGGGACCAATAGAGCAGCATGGTGGCCTGGGCCTCGCAGCCAGCCCTCCTCTCATGCCCACTGCAGACCACAGGTGCACAGTGACACCTGGCCAGGAAGCCCACCGCTCCCAGCAGCAGGCACTCTGCGCCAAGCCCCCCTCGAACACTGGCCTGCCACAGGAACGGCTTCCCCAACTGGGAGGCTGCACAGGCCCCGCTGGCCCAAGTGACGATAGAATTTGATTATATTTTTGAAAACAGTACAAAGCCTGGTTTGTGGGCCCACAAGACCTTGAAGACAGCTCAGCCCTGTGTCCCGGGTCCCACTGTGGCGTCTTCCGCAAGGCTCCTTCCAGAAGGGACACAGGCCCATGTTCCAGACAGTCCAACAGCACGCCCTGTACCTGAGAACCAGTCCTTTCTGTGCCGCTTCAGGGAAAGTGCCGACAGCACGTCTCCTTGCGGCCATAATTAAGAGCTCTGATAATTAATGTCACTGTCAATCAGGGCAGGTTGCAAGTGCAGGCAGGAACTGACAAGGAAATTAGTAGAGGGTCCCTCCACTTCTGCAGGTTGAGTGGACACCCCACATGCTCCCCACCATGAATCTAGGCCATGTTCAGCACTGTCCTCACCAGAAGGAACCCCGMACTCCCGCACTCCGGGACAGGAGGGTGCTCAGCACCAAGGACAGCTCTGGGAGCTGCTATCTCCCTACGCTCTCCACACCTCCCTACAGTAGCTAGCCACCCCGAGCCCTGATGTCCAGCTCTGCTGCGTCCACGTCCGAATGCACCATGATGAATCAAAACCACAATGCACAGTTAAAACCACAACAATGATAATGGAGGGGGACAGTCCAGCAGAGGGGGCAAGGGAGGGGAGGGAGAGGAAAGGTGCAGAGTGCCCGTAGGAATGTGGCAGAAGGAATCCACTCTTATCATCAAAAAAAAAAAAATAGAGAAAGAGACATAAAGGACAGAAGGAGGGAGGGAGGGAGGGAGGGAGGGAGGGAGGGGAAGGGGAAGGGCGGAGGGGCCCCTGAAGGCTGGCTGGCATGAGTGACCAGGCCTGGGCAAGTCCCTGCCACTCAGCTGCCCCACCTCTGCCTGGTGAGCCCCTGGCTCCTCAGATGTCCCTGCTGAGTGGAAGGGACGGCCAGCTCTGCTCTGTGCCTCACAGCCCCTTCAAAGGCCACTTTGGGAAGACAGCAGGAGATAAGGGGACTGAATGTGAGTCCCCTGGAGCTGGGACACCAGGCATAGCAAGAAGGCTGCGAGGGGAGGCTGCCTCCACCACAGCACCGGCCCGGCCAAGGCCCGCGGGCCCTGCTCCAGCTCTCCGCCCTCGCTGGGCTGGAGACCCCCTGCCTGGCAGAAGCCATGAATACCCAAGGAGAGACTGGCACAGACTGCGGACAGCCCCCCAGGACCGCTCCCACCCGCCCACAGCTGACACCTGAAGCCACCACTGCTGTGTGGTTCGCTCCCCTGGCTGGGAGGGGGCTGGGAGGGGCCTTCTGTGTCCACTCCTYGGAGTGGGAGTCTCCTGGAGCCCCTACCGAGAACTGGCCTGAAGGTGGGAGCTGGGGGCCAGGGAAGGGCCCTGAGTGGAGAGGAGGGGACGCAGTAAGCACGTGTTTCTAAAATGTGACAAGATACACACCAGATCTGTCCTCCAACCATTTTTTAGAGTACATCTGTGGCGCTAAATACACATTGTCTGCAGGCACCACCACCGCCATCTCCAGGGCTCCGTCCCCAGCAGGGGACACGCCACCCCTCCCCACCCCCATCCTGCACTCCACCCTCTATTCCTGTGGCTTGGAAGCTCAGGGAGCCTCATGCACCTGGACCCGGAGGCCCTCATCCTTCTGTGGCTGGCAGTTACACTGGGTGGGTTGCCCCCAGGCCTGTCTTCAGGGTCACCTGTCAGAACCTCCTTCCTTCCTGGGGCTGAGTGGCGTTTTGTGTATCCATCTATCCACTGGTGCACACCTGGGCGGCTCCCACCTGTTGGCTACCATCATCTGTAGCCCACGTGTACAAACACCTCTTTGATGCTTCAGTTGTGATTCTTTTTTTATTATTTTAATATTTTTTAGTTGGTGATGGACCTTCAGTTTTTTGCTTATTTGTAAGTGGTGCTGGAAACCAAACCCAGTGCCTCACCCGTATGAGGCAAGTGCTGTATCGTTGAGCTGCAACTCCAGCCCCTGCCTGTGGTTCCTTTGCATGCATACCCTGGAGTGGGATCACTGTTCATGCATAACATCCTATTTTTAAATTCTGGGGGCCTCCGTGGGGATGGCAGCAGTTCACACACCCACCCACAAGGCACAAGGTACACTTTTTCCACATCCTCATCAACACTCGTAGTTTTCTTAAAAACACCTCCCGGGGGGAAATGGCCAAGGAAGAAGGCAGGGACACAGGTATCAAGGTCTTGGCAGTGAGTTGTCAGAACTGTCATTCTTTGATCTATGCACTGGTAGAGCTGCCAAGTCAGCAGCTCAGAGCCACCCACCCCACAAACCAGCACCCAGGGTGCTCCACCTGTCCCAGGGGCTGCAGGCTCAGATGGGAAAGACCATGAACGTGCAGGGGACAGACAGACACATCATTGAAGATGTGTTCCACCAAGAGGGGCCAAGAGATTAAAGAACAGGCACCAGGTGAGTTCACACAGGGAAAAGGGAAGGGAGACACTCAAGTGGG